TCCTGCTTACATGGGCATGGTTCACAATGTGATTTTGCTGCACAGAAACTACATTTGCTTTCTGAGGAAACTAAACTAGAACTTCTGCTCCATGTGTACATCGAATGAACTCTACTACGTATCATGGTGTTAGAGTCTAAACCAATGACTTTGCCCATCAGACATTTTCACCAGTGCTTTCTGGAGGACATACAGTCTACAGAAACAGAAAAAAGCTAGTCTGAAGTAAACCCCTCAAATTCACACTCTATAGATGCAGAAGCATCTGAAACTGCTGTAGTGCACTCATTTGCTTCTACTGCATTAAATTATTTGTCACGGTAAACAAAGCCTAAGACTGTACTATAGTATTAAACCCCACAGGTATTTCTCCTGTGCTTGCATAAACCTGTTATCTGTCTTTTCAATTACATGAGTGAGTGTTCCTCTGAAATTGCTTCAGAAAATGGGATTTCCATTGACTATCATATCAAAGCAGATACAGCAGCCTTTAATAAGCTTTAGTAGCTTACCAAAAAATAAACAAACCCACTGTTGATGAAGCAGCTCCGCAAACTCATCCTGTGTTTTCTTATCCAGGTAGCACATTTTAGCTATTCAGCATATTTGTAGATGTAGAAAATCCAAAATTAGAATTTAGTTAACAATTCTCTTGATAAATGAGGCTGATTAAAATCTAGTTCACTCTCCTTTAATTGTTCTGGCTTTACACAGATAAAAAATAGTAACATTTTATTATTGTTACTGAAGAAAAATCTTCCCAAGACTGCATCAACTTACAAGACTGTATTAACAGAGAGACTTATCTGACTCTTTCACAATATAAATAACAACATAATTAAATTCAGTTAAACTCTGAGGGTGCATTACTTTAAAAGATGCACAATTGTAGAACCTTTGCAATATTAGCTTTCTTGCCAAAAACACTTTAGAAAGTATTCTCTTGTGCCCCACAGAGAAACTTCTACCAGACTTGCTGAAAAGTATTTACAGTAGTAACTATCACTCTCCAAGGCAAGGATTTTGTTTACTATCTTTCTTGGTGAAGAACTGATCAACGATCTTTCCACAGGAATCGCTGCAATGTCATCAGACATTACAACTCCAGAAAAATTACTGTGGCAAGATAGGAGTAACTCCTCCCATGAGCAGAGCAGCACACTGCCTTCACACTGTACATGCACCCTCTGGAGGAAAGCGAAGAGACAACAGACCTTCAGTGTTACCTATTTGTCTCTCTAGATCTGCTGCTTCGTCTGGTGTTGCACGTGGGAGGACACCAGGATCACTGAAACTAGTACGCAGCAGGGTCCCCATCACAAAAAAGAAAAGAATCCCACCAATTGCAGGTATAGCAGGTGTAATCTTCTCTGACAAATATGGACAACTGGAAAAAGAAAAAAAGATAAAACATAATCAATAACACATAGTGGAACTTGCTTTTAAAAACTGTTTACCATTATAAATGTGTATGAAGAATTCACTTTCTTCTATTGATACATTACTTGTCTTGGAATGTTTATTGAAGCTGAAGTTTCTGTTTATGTGTTCATGACACTTCTGAAACTTCTCATGATCTGTTTAATATAATAAAGGTCCAAACAGCATAATAATGAGCTCACTATTATGCAATACTCATTTACATAAGAAAATAAAATATTTTTACTATAGGATATTATAAGGGTATATATTTGTTCATCTACTGCCCAATTACATAAAGTAAATTGGGGAGGGGAAGGGGAAATAGCCTGAAGATATTCAGCAATAAAAAGCAAAACACATAACATGATGAAATAAGCCACAATGAAAAATGTAATTAAGTCTATAAAATGAATTCATAGTCCATCACAAAGATGATGCTCAAGAACTTACACCTGTGACACATTCCTTGAATAGCCTTGGTGTATATCAATATTATAACACCACCACTGATTCGCTATTTCAATCTATTTCTTGTAACTTGGTAAGCTTGTTTACTCATTTACAAAGATGAGTGTAAACAGCAGTGCAACACACCTGGAAATGAAACAATCTGGGGGGGTCCAGGGCAACATCAACAGCCCTTTACCAGCACGAAAGGCTCTATATGCTTACCAGATTTACAATATACATGCAGGGGTTAAGATTGGATCACAGTTTTAGCAAATTTTCCTCTATGCTTCACATGTAATAAAATCAAAATGGACAGAAGCATTGGAATCTAAACAACACACAAATATAAGTATCTTTTTACAGTTGTGCAAAAAGAAGGGATATGAACACTTAGACCTTACACAGTATACCACTCCTGTTAGATAATCTGAGTCATACAATAAGCACTGCAGGATCATCTTAGAAAACACACAGGCTGAGGACTCTCTTTATAGCTTTTATATTAAGTAGAGGGGGCTAAGACAGAGATGGCTTCACACATTTCTGATGTCTGCTGAAGAAGTCATAAAATAAGCCTAAAACCAACATAAGCCAAAACCCAACAAATTCTAGGCCTTAGGGCTTCATCTAAAGCTTCCAGGTATCAATCAAGTTTAATTAACATCGTCTTCTCTGTTTCTGCTGACTGCCTTAAATGATGACTCAGACACATGAGCTTTTGCACTGCAAGTCAGTTAACCTCACTGGAATGTTAACTCTGAGCAAGTGATGACAATGTCAGCTTCACTGTCCATCACTTCTGCCGACTGGATAGGGCAAGAATGGAAACGTTTTTCATACCAGCTACCATGTACCAAGCATTTATCTCCCTGCATAATCCTGTTACATGTACTTGGCTGTTTCTTTGAACGCCATGGGTTTCATGGATACAAGGAATCCAAACGCATTACATGGTGCATCATACCATCACTGAGTGGAATTCATCTTTCACCCTACGTGAATGTAATATTACAAGTGTAACAAGTTATGAAGGATTAAAAAGACAACTGGGTATAAAAAAAGGCAAGGGGCAAGAGATACTGTAGTTTCATATAATGAATAGACTGTTTAAATACTAGGAAATGTACTTCAACTGCACACTTTTAGAAAATCTGTGTCAAAGACCCAGATTTATGAAAACAGTGCTAACTAAAGGAAGCAGCAGCAAGACAGCTGGTAGATATAAGCCTTGCTCCCTTCATGTCAGAGAAGTCAGTCAGAATGAACAACCAAAGAGCAGCTTTCATACCCAATAAGCATCCTATTGCTCAATTTATTTCTTGCCACAAAGGATTACTCAAATCAAAACTACTGCAATACACTCAGACAAGAGTACAAACAGGCTGCAACAACGTATTTCTAAAAGGATTAGAGGGAACATGTACATTAATAAACACTAAATATAGCACAGTGCTATTATTCTTCCATTGCATTATTCATTACACATACCAAAGAAATTGCAACTGTGATGAAGTCTGTTGACCAAAGAGCTGTATGTGTGTGAAAGGTACCATGAGATAATGTCAGGGCAGCGCAGCAGGCACAATACAATTTAGACAGGTGCCAATGCAAAACCAGCAATGGTGTCTACAAATCTCAAATTCTCAGTGATCCTCACAGAATGGAAACGGAAGGGTCATCATGACAGTGACATGTTTTCTTTTAACAATAATTTCATAGGGAATTGGTAGAAAGAACCACAACCAACGTGTGCTGAAATACTGAGAAAGTTTTGCATTACCAAAAAGTGATTATATCATTACAGTAAAAAAAGCATGAAAATGTCGATCTCTTCCTTGCTGAGCCAAGTCCACCTGTAGTGAAAAAAACCCAAACTAAAAACAACCCCAAACCACCAGCCCACTCTCAAAGCCCTGCACACTCTTCACCATAGACAAGAGTACGGTAATCTGCTTTACCTAAAGGTGTTTTCAGGGTGTAACTCCCTGTATTTTACCAACTTTGACTTGGAATTACTTCAGTAACAACATAGAAAAGACTGAAGATATCATCTTTGACAATAATAACCAACTAATGCTCCCCCAATTCAGAAGTTATTTCAAACTGAGAAACCAATGCTTACAGAGGTTCAGATAGTAAGCCTAGGCAGGACCATTCAATCAGGTCTGACTTATGTACCAACAGACCATATAACATTACACAGGCCTGCAGAGAGCTCAGCAATATCTATCCTTTAGAAAGGCCCAATAAATGTTTTGAATTTCTGTCAATTAAATTAAAAAAACCCCAGATATTGTATAGACCATTTTTTTCTTCGTGTCTGCCCCCAAAAAAAAAGGAGGGGGGGGAATTTAGTATGTCCTGGGTTATTGAAAAATCCATTAAAAGTGGCTTCAAATTAAAAATGTGGATTTTAGTTCAAAATTGTCAATACATCTGTAAAAATACACTTGCATATTTATATAATTTATATTTGCATGCTTACATAACAAATATATTTGTACTGCTACATTAAGTCAATATTATTTTAAACAATTCATTTTAGCGTTATTACTTTTAGAATTGTAAAATACTGTACACAGGAAAAGATTATTCCTAATATTTGCTCGAATTCCTTAATTAATTTGCTTCAATTGAGTTTGCATCCCTTCAGGTATCAGCTTTCATCAGATATTATAAGAAATATCTTTTCTGGATGATATTTTCAGTGAGGTTTTAAAGTAAATATTAGTAGCTATTTCCTGACAGCAAATTTCAGAACATTTACACAGAGGGACTCCCGCACAGAGGATCATCCATCTGCAACACCACTTATGATAAAGCAGCACAGAGCTCCAGAACAAATCTCTGTCCTACTGCAGAGCAAGTAGTGACAAACCTTTTTACATCAGCACTTGGTAACTACTAGACATGAACTGACATCTTCAGTTTACATCTTAGACACAGCAAAACGATTGTTCTTAATCAGTGTCTGTAATGATAGCAAGTACTGACTAGGCCCATCCCAGAAAACAGTATTTTAAGAAATGTTACTTGACCACAGATCCCACTACAAATTGTTATTGTGGAAATAGCTTCTTTAGAGAGCAATGTTTGGATTTGCACATAGCAACCTGTAACACAACCTGAAGTTGTGATTGAATTAATAGAGGGGCTTTATAAAAATCAGCCCTGCTTTCTGCTTGGCTTCTCAGCTGCTTTTTTGAAGCACCATATGAAAGTTTGCATGGGTGTAGGAAGGAAATAAAATCTGCTGGAAGACTGGTCTGTCACAGCTAGATAAGAATGAAAACACACTGGCATGTAAGGGAAAATTACCAAGTATCATTCCTGTAAACGAAGGATGCAGGAGAACAACAACAGTAATTCTTACCACCCAGCAGCCCTCTTAACTGTGTAACCATGCTCCCTGTGGCTACTGAGATGAGCAGAAAAATACACACGGTAACTCCACTAAAGAGCGCACACAGTGAGTGTCCTACAACTTTCAAGCTCTTTCATTAGGAAAGGGGAGGAAAATAAAAAAAAGCCTTCTTAAAGCCTTTCCTGGAAAGATGAAGCTTTCCTGAACAGTTCACTGACAGTTGTTATTCACTGATGGGGAGATACAGTAAATGACAAATCTATCCAGTAGGGATAATAGAGATTTGGAGAGAGACTAACCCTGTAGTTACAAAAAACCAGGAACAACAAATACAGCCACCTACTAAAGAGCACAAAGACAGGGGTTTATACCTGTGAGAAACTGGAGATAATAGTTATTAAGCTGGCAGGCAAAAAACAATAGAAGCACAGATTTTATGCAAAGATGTAGTTGCCATCACACTTAATTACACTAATTAAAAAAGAAAAAAAAAAGGACCCCTACAATCTTGGCTGGCAATACTGGTAACAGGGTACTATGCGTCAAGCTTTTCACCAATATAAAACTCTTTGCAGCAGATATTAAAAAAAGTGTACTCCAGGAAAAGCATAATAAAATAGAACCAAGTAACATAAAGAAAAAAATTACTGTTCATCAATTTAATTTATGTCTCTGCAGGTATTGCCTATTTAATACACCAGTAGCTATTGATGTGCAGGTGGCATCCAATGCTAAGAGAGAAGACTTGCACTGTGAACCCTGGGTTCCACAAGTTAACATCTGAATGAGACTGTGCTGCTTTCCTTAAACTAACCCAAAGGGTTTGGGTTTTGTCCTTCCACTCTTATTTATGGCTCCTCTCACTTCCCCTTCCTTTCAACTCCACTGCATCATTGCTCCAAGCCACTTGCCCCCAAATTTCAGACCTTATGCCAACACAAATCTGCATCAGGTTCTTTGGTGAGCCAAGTTAGTTTCCTAAAATGTACCAAAACGACACCATTTTGTTGACTTCTCTTTCTGCCTCTAACAAATCAAATATGCACTTGGAAAGGAGCGCTGATATTAGTACAAGGCAAGACAGACAGAAGCACACACAAGAACTAGATGGAGAGGGAAACTGGGACAGAGGGAGGAGACCATT